GGTGTTGGGCTGAAAATGCAGGTATATTATCATTTTTACGGAACACGTCGTCACACATGTTTTAACACCCAACCTGGAGGGCCAGGAGACTGTGTTAATTAGACCTCTACCCATTGACCAACCTGGTATGAGAGACTCTGTGAGTGTCGCGTGGACACCCCGGCAGTATAGCTCAATGTGTCGCTGAGGTACACAAACAGCCACACCACGGTAAGATCGAATCTCTTCGTGACTTTTGTAACGGACTGATAGTTTGTATCTAGTCATCCTCTTACGCAACTTCCTCTTAGATCAACTTAGGATAGGGACCATTCAACAGCGATATCCGCACAATTTGTGCAATTTTTACACAATCAGTTTTGGTGTGTGGCTCACTATCCATATTCCAGTACTGGATCCGGCGTATTTTGCCTGAGTGGTCCGGACTTCTGAATCAATTATGTATTGTTAATTTAATTCCATTAATTCCATTTTAGACTGGATGATCTTCACTTCAAAATGGTAAAGCTTCCATTTTAGACTGGATGATCTTCACTTCCTTGTGTTTCATTGTGGGGCAGGGATTTCACAGGCATGTTAGCTGTGTTCACCTGCACACGCTGTCGTCATTTGTGCTGAAACCCTTTGTCTGAAGGCAGTTTGGCACCTCCATGTCATACTAATCGGGTACTCCTCCATCTGGCATGCTTCCCAGACCAGGGTGTCACCTTCATCACGCAAAATTCTCCTGACTCAGATGGTTTCACGGAAAATTCTACTGCATACCACCGACTGGCTTTCACCCAGCGTAAGCACTCTATCATTACAACTTTACAAATATCCGGGCAGCGGCAATGCTTTACAGGACCACCATATCCTCACTAAATGCATACAGGTTCATCAAATGAGATGAAATTATAACTGGCCAAGTCTGTGCCGTTTATTAGGCGACCTATGGTGAGTAGGTTTGCTACGTGAACTAACCCGCTTCAGTTATCGGACCAGCCGCGCGGACAGAGATATCTGTCATTGTGGTTCATATGTCAAGGGTCTGAACAGCAGTACTGCTAGAAATATCTATGGTACAATTAAAAGTATGCTGGGGATCATAGCCAAGTCAGCAGAAAAGTATTATTACAACAATGGATGACCGGCGGTACCAGTGGGTGAAAATTTACCGGGCTTAAATACCGATATGGGAAAGTTTGGATGTCTTAAGCGAGGGAATGAGCGAACAAGGTATCAGCCAGAAGGCAGTGTATATAATGTAGAAGAACCTTGAGTTTCTATTACAGTTTGAATGCTAGAAATATTTTGCTGTAGTATTTTGACTCACGTGGAAGAGTATTCGACGCTGCCTGATTTTTAGAATGTTGAATCGATCAAATTTTTCCCACTAACTATGCCCCCATGGGGTTACCAATTCAGTGTTCTATTTGAATCAGTATACACTGTAATCTGAACTTTTATCCGTTTATGTGATGAGGAAGGGGTGTGTGTTTGCCGATGAAAACCAGATACTCATAATTATTGTTCCGTTGTCCAGTTGGTGGGCCCTGGCGATCATGTTCACCTGCGATACGATCTAGTCTTGACGCGCCCATAAAAATCACCTGTGTGTAGTGAACGTTTTCTCCACATGTTTCGAACAAATTGGGACCGTTTCGGCCTAAAGGACAGAAGCGGAATTGGAACGATTCTATGGATGCGTACATCGTACGCTAATCGTCAGAAAAATTCACAAATTGTTCACTAATAATGGGTAAACGAAAGTGATCTTAGGCTCCCACATTGGTTAGGATAGACGGATAGACATTGTTACGGATGGCAGGAGTGCCTTGTGTATCATAATATGGAACTCTTACCGTCAACATGTGACATCGGACTTATATATCTGATTGTTTACCTAGTTTTCCCACCAACTTTAGGCCAAACAACGCGTTGTTTAAAAGAATGGGCCTTGAAGTATTTTCATAACTTCTTTCTTCCGGTCGTTCCAACATTGGTGAATGTCGTCTAAATGAAACTCAACACTCGAGCTTACATCAACGCGGGATATCAAGTCTTTGGAATGAAGACCTGCGTTATCTAGTGTGAGAGCTGCGTCCACCGACCATCCTTAGAGAAATCCGAACTATTGTTGTTGTTATTGCTGCTGCTGCAAGCAACGATTGGTCGCCGTGTATTTCTGTCATAGTGGGTTGATGCGGGTATGGACGAAATGATATGAGATGTATGGGTTGTGAATGTTTCAGAGTGGGAAGTCACGGACTCTACTCGATTCCACCCGTACGGTTCTGAGTATATCAGTAACATGGTCCTCAGAATTTGTTTCGCCCGAATGAGGACCTCCATCCTCAAAGAGACAACTTTGTCCCTGTCCATTAACTTCACTACGGAACTGGTGGACAAAATGTCAAGCCTCTCAGAAAGACTGGAAGATTTTGTTTTAATCCAACTACTTCGCAGGAGTTTAAAAGTGCAACCACCTTTTGGCATGGCAGCTGATTTCCGATGGGCCATACTGAGTCAGTGTTTTTGAAAGCCACATTCAACTTTCCTGAACATTCGCAATATTGTCCAATGAGCTTGGAAGTTGAATTTTTCTTACAAAGGACTGGCTTTATTGCTGGTGTGTAATAAGGCAATGCATGAGAAGTGACGTGGCGTGGGCTCAACTACGATTAGTTGACTTATGAACATACTGTGGACACTTAAGAGCACTTTGAGCTCACTAACTTGGCGAAAGCTCCAATGTGTAAACGATAATCCAGCCGACTAACAGCTCTTTAGATGACTACTTCATGGGATGAAGAAGAAATTCATTGGCTCAACGGAACTGGCACCTCGGGGAGCAGCTCTACTAATTAAAAGCTACTGGCGGTTATCAGCGTAATCGGCACAGTGTTACGGAAAACTGACGAAGTCACAAGACATTTTGCTTGTTGTTTCCTGAAGCCACGACCCGGCTCACACTGGTGGACGTCCAGTGGATTATTTTCTCCAGTACCCTAAGACTTCTAGTAATACTAAATAAGTTAAGAATTTGCTACAAGCTATGGCTGCCAACCGATGTCAGTGGCGTTCTATCCAGATCTCCTGAGTGAGTGTTTGGAGGTATAGGCACCTCGGAATGATTGTAGTAAGCTAGCACTAAGTCCATTCCCCGTCCACCTTTACTCTTTTCTTTACAATAAGGCCTTCAAATAAATCATGATTGCACGGCAGTGAAGCATCGGTGTTGAACACTGATGTCATGCTGTCGATGATGATGATGATGATGATGATGATGATGATGATGATGATAATGATGAATTTACCTCATTCTACCTAACCATGCTCTGCTCTAAACAAATAACTCAAATTTAAGACTGGTTCTCGGAGAGACAATTTCTTAAGATCAGTGTAGATTTCTAATTCTGATAATGAACTTTTCAGAAAGCTTCCAGATGTCCGAGTTTTCCGCTAGCTTAAACCTGTGTTACAAATCACTTGTGTTTCATCGATATACGTGAATATTGGAGTGCACTCGACTCTAGCAGTGTGGCAATCGATTAGCCTGATAACACTGACTTACCAGGGAATCTGTTTTTATGACTTTGTTGTGTATTTTGTTCTATAACTGATGAGGCGGCCAATCAAATCAAACAACTCAAATGAGAGTAAGACAGTTAACGATAAGTGAAGAAAACTGATTCCGAAACATCGGGAGATTGGCATCTTATTTGTTGGCAGCTATGCTAACATGTAGTGCGAATAAATAGGGTTTTTACTTCCTTTTTTACGTCCCTTGCTTATGCGCCCTTGTGGGGGAGTCCCATTTCAAACTTGATTATACATAAAGGGAGACTAAAGTGAAGTGTACACTGAATGTATATGCATCATCCTTTGGTCAGACATTTTTTCCAGTTTCCCTACCCGGTTTGTAACTTCCACCCCATATGAACGTGGGGTTCACGTGCACGTGAACCGCTGTTTGTTTGTTCGACCCATCTTACTTATTTGGTCTTGAGGCCACCAGGTCATCCACATCTGTGTACACGTGACTGGCTCACGTGCTTCAACCTGCTTCTCCAGCATTGCCAGTACTTTTGGATAACTTGTTTCAGACCCGTACCTACCTCAGAGATTCGTATTTTTATGAGTTAACGTTTTTACATCATTAGGGATCCAGCTCAAAGTTTGCTTTACCTAAAAGGAAATTTATGATCACTTGAAGATAGCGCTTTGGTTGTAACGATATAGACTTATTCGTCACATGGAACTAGGGCTTTGGTGGGCTTCCTCCGAACTGGCATCCCTCCCCCGGAAGGGCCGCTTTGATCAGGTCCCACTGGTCCACCTATGTGGGAACGAATGTACTGAAGTCCATTCCGTAAGCAAAATTGAGGGCACACTCGTCTTACTGTCATAAGGGGTCGCCGTCGTACTACGGCCATATACGTATGGCTCCTATAAATTGCGTGCGGTTAGTCATCTTTCTGCCATCATTCATCATATCGTAATCAGTCGTATACAAAGTCCGTCAGTTCCAGCAGTGCATTGGGACACGGAGGCCGAAAGTGAAAAATATATTGTCGGAGTGGTGCGAGCACCGCTAAAAGATGGAGAGAGAATACAACTCAAGAAAACAGCTGTTGAAACTTCTGAGTCCAGAGGATGGTGCTTCGATTACCACTGACCTTCAGTCGAGACTGCATCCTAGCTCCTGTCCGGCACACGCTCACCGTGCCTGGTACTGATCCTATTCCAATGGTGGGAACATGGTTTGTTTTGCCTACTCATGAGTACGCGAAAGTATGCACCCAAATATTTTTGACTTGGCAGCTCAGCAGACCACCTCCCTGCTATCCGATTTCATTTAAAAATGTCACATTTGAAAAGAAACGTGCAAGTAACACATGAGCAATGAACTTGCTGTCCAATGCCATTTTAAGCTTGCATTGTCATTTGCACAGAAGTTCATAACATACCAACGCTTTTTGCCCGTTTAGAGGAAGACAAACCCCAATATGGTATAGGTTTTCTTCTTGCCATGAACACTAGGTGAAATCAAGGCGTGATATGAAACCAACGAAAATGAGGGAGGTAGAACTCCGAAACCCAGAAAAAACACAAGCGGAAGGAATTTAATAGTTTCCTTTCCATGATGGACGAATTCTAAAAAGCGAAAGGCGTAAAAAAATGTGAGTAAAACATATTTGCAAACTAAGGTCGAGTTAATCGGCTATTTAGCTGAATCTCTCTTTTATGGTGTTTTTAATCTGAATGTGCTACAAAAGGGACTTGAACTGCGTTTGCAAGTTGTGAGTACAAAAAAGTGTATCATTAGATCTTGGTATGAAGGTGATCAATGAATTAATGCATGATCGTACATGGTTGGTTAACAAAAGATCAGCACAAACATTTGTCATTTGTGTGACCAAAGGAAACTGATATTTTTGTTCTTGGATGGATTTGCGGATAGTATGGAAAAATGTTCAAAATAGACAGAACCCTCCACCAATAAGTAGACACAGTAGCTTGTCTGGCGGAAATAACATTTCACGAGTACGGCGGACGAGATGTGAGCGTTCACTTTACTTTCATCACCGTCCATGTACAACCTGCAATTATAGGTTTAGCACATGTCAACTATAGTTTGTTACAAGGATGCGAAGACATTCAGGTGGACGAAGTAGTGGCGGGAGGTTTGTGTCAAAGTCTTTTATGCACAAAACTGCCTGTCTTTGTCTCGCCGCATTTGGGGTGGTTAATTGCGCACCAGAACAGTGAGTGATTGTTTGGGGTCAACAATAACGTGAGAACAGCAGACGTTTTGTAATGATGATTCTGAGTTGCGGGTTGTATGATGAGCACTAGACGACGGTTGTCCCTCGAAGAGTATCAGATATTTTGCGTTTAGCAACTCTCTAGGATAGACGGCGTTCTGTTCTGTCGATTTAAGTGTCACCGCAAATGTGGGTGAAATGACGGACGATACGGCCTGCAGAGGGATCGTCCTCTCGAGGCTTGCAGTCGTAGAGCTAAGGAGGAAGGGATTAGTCCTCGTTGCACGGCCGGAAAATCGCAATCAAAACCGGTCGTTAGTTGCTGTTTAATGCTCACAACTATGTGATTCCATTCAAATAGTAGTTGCCTGAATAGTTATTTGTTTTCAACAGGGAAACCCGGTCTGCTCTAGCTTTAAGCGGGATGTGTTGAGACAAAAAGCTCAGGATAGTGCTTCTGCGGTGGAGTTTATTCCAATAACTTTTCTTTGCGCGGTTCGTCGAGGGTGTAAATGTTCCTCATACTTAAGAATAGTGTTTTCGCCAATTCGCGTTTATGACCGGTGCAAGACTTGGGAATTAGATTTACCAGTCCAGGTTCGTTTATGGTGGATTCCACGGGCTACTGGGTTATCCGAATGTCTTTTGAGCAGAAGATCTAAGAAAGCTCAACGGTTGTTTGACTCGAAAGATACAGATAAACAGGGCTGAGATCTTCACATCCAAAAGTTTCTATCATGGGATACCTCTAATCAGCGAAAAACCTCGGGAAACGCAGAGTGAAAGTCCTGCAAGAAAACTTTTTCTTCAAATATTGAGTACACTGTGATTAGTAAAAAACTTAAATATAATTTTAAAGCAAACAGCTACCGATTTACCATGTTCCGCGTGCAGCTGTCCATAAAAAGCTTCGGGAAAACTGCTGGACAAACGTGAAACGCATTACTTTTGAGGACGAAGTTAGTGAAAGATGTTCTGAGTCAGTTGGAATTGGAAGGACATCAAAATCTGTTAATCGTGATGCTTAGAAGTCATAGAGTCTTGTTGTGTGGAGTCCTTCATTATGGTGGTTGACCAATCGGACTAGATGGATGACATTTCACTGACGGGGCATAACTGGCTGTCGAGCATCCTCTGGTTGGGTCTGTCAGCTAGGTACACCCTGCGCCATTTTTAAGTTGGTGCAAAGCGCGGTTCTGATCCTGTGCTTTTGAATCCAATCAGGATTGTCTGAATGGGTGGTTGTAGATGTAGACGTCTTGGTGTACTTGTTTTAGGCTAGCACTGGGTCTTTTGCCTCTTATCTTCTATACTTTATTCGTCAGAGCAAATTATGCTTCAGCATCATTGAAGCATCAGTTTTGTTAGGCTATAGGTGGGGCACGTTTGTTCAGAGATTTAGACTCCTCGTTCCGTGGTCAGCTGGAATAGCCTGTGTCGTTGGTTAGGGGGTTGTTAGGAGAATGTTGTGCTCTGATAAAGAGACGTGGTTGGAGATATAGTTAAGTGGACTTAATGGCTCTTTAAAACTATTGTAAGATTAAGTGCCGGGTGGTTCAAGCCTATGGATTTGCGCAAGGTTGCTTCTCTAGTCGCTGGCACATGAGCTAGGTGAGAAACTGACATTGCAGAATATAAGCAGTGAAGTTGTATCACACTGTCATAGCCGTAGTCTCGGTCATGGAACCCATTTGAAAGCTTTGATTTGTGAACATCCGAAATCCCTCAGCTGGAGAACTTGATCCGAAAGTTGGGTGAAATACGGGGTGTGCAATCCACTGGTCAAAGGTGACCAACGAGGTATCACACCAAATTCTTGAACGGCAGGAATTCCTGGTGTGTGAAGATCACGCATGTTGGTTGGCAAATAGTTGCCTGATCCACACTTCCATATTGGCTCGTACGATCCAGGCCAAGTCGCAGGGAAACTTTAACCGGGTATGCCTGGTTATAGATTATCTATATCCACCATACACTGAATTACACGGTACAGCAGAGTTGCACCTTCTAGAAAGAATACCTCGATGAATCGATCAGAGATGGCCTTATCTACGAAGTGGGAATTCGTCAATCATTTACACAAGACAAAAAAGGTTTGTCCTCGGGGCTGAATTTTCGTTAGAGTGATCGCCTCAGAAAGGAACTCGAAATTGATGAACTGTAATGTAAACGTTCATATTTACAGTACAAAACCTACAGGGATTAAGATTCATACAGCGCTCTCTATCGAAAGCAAGGTGCCACTACCACTAGTCACGTAGCACCATTTCGATGCCCAGCTTATCAGAGATCAAATTTTTTCAAATCGCACTTCGAGAAATGCCACACTGAACACCTAACTATAACGTATATAGACTAAAAAGTTATGCTTTGCCATGTGTCCATCTCACTTCTGGATTACCAGTTATCCCGAACGCCTTAGCTTGAGCAAATCCTTCTCTTGGTTTCGGCACGATAGTGGCAACGAGGATTTCAAAACTTTATTTGTTTCATACGTTTGTAATCTGGAACTATTTCCTCATCAAAGTTGGCTAATCAGCTAGCAGAGGCAATGTTCTACTATATACCTTGTTCCATTTTACGGTGACAGTTTTCATAGTGATCCTTTTAGTGAAATCCGAAACAGTCTACCATCGAACGAAAGCCATTTTCGCCTTAGTTAAGTGACTTTTCAAGAGTGTACAGCGACTTTGTCTGGTCTACCCAAGCCAAGTCGAAATATGGAGGGATATTGTAAGCAAAAGCACACAAGGCATTATTCAAGAAGATTTAATCAACGATTCATAACAGTGGTTTTCGAACTTTTTAACTCATCTAAAGGGCAACATTGCCCCCTTACTTTGCATGCATAGCGTAAAGCCAAAAGATCTGTATCACAACACACCCTCTCCAAAAAACCACTTTGGAAGGTTAACCGGAGGGAGACTAGTCCTGGCAACAGCCCCACTACCACACGGAAGAAAATAATAGACAATGCAAAGAGCGCAATTACTAAGCAGATATAATTCCTATAATATTAGGTTACCAAGTGAGGATCCAACAATACTTAAGCGGATGCCCTGGAATAGGGCAATGCGGCGATGCACGTTAGTGGTGTTATCAGCGTATAGGCGGTTCAACTCAATGGAATAATGCCATCAAATAGGTCTTGTCACGATCTACCCTGCTTAGAGATGTTTCACAGTCAACTTTCCCTTCCAAAAACAGACTCTCAGTGGCGCTAAGCCACTGAGTTTCCGTGCAGTCTATGGCACCAGGCAGTGGAACAGAACCTGAACGACTCTGTGCTCTGACCTTGCTGCTACTTGGAATATTCTTTGAGCCGGCTTATTCACTCATAGAAGAAAGTTGCCAGGTAAGTACAAAGCCAGCACCAACCGCTAAAGACATCGCTGCATGGAATAAACACTTACTGTCATAGGGTTGTGTTATGATATTAACTCCAGTTCGTTAGCGGTGAATGTGCTCGGTCGACATACGGGAACTCGAGAGGTGGCTTTAAAAATCCATTATGGCAAGTAGTGGAGTATCAGAATTTACTATAGTTTCCTGAACGGTATTTACATGACACATACTGGCAGTGAAGTGCGTATTGGGGCGTCCCTATCCACTCAAAGCATCGATGGGTAGTACAGAATGCAAACTTACAACAGCGATGGAGCACTGAGATCCGTGAGTAAAACCCGCCAACTATGCCTAAGTAATCAGTGCTACCGGAATAGAATTCCCACTGTTTGAAACAGTGGCTTGCGATCCCTGCTACTGCTGTCACTGCTGGAATGATGAAGCTTACGCAGAACAACATTTCCGTGGTGCAAGTACAAGTGAGTGCTAGGATGTATTTCCAATCAGTCCCCATTTACAGGATATGCTAATATTAGTCTTGACGCCACCTCCTTTTGAGCTTTTAGACCAATCCGAAAAGGATCTGTTTATGTGCAGCGGGCGTCTCAGACTTTACGCTTATAAACATATCACACTAAGTGAAGCTGTTTGTGTAGATGTCAAATAAAAATCAATCGACCAAGGACGCTGAGCAATGACTGAAAACAACCCCGACTTACACGCGTTATTTCACATTGAACTTCTTCCACTCGTCCAGCCAAATTGTCGTTGGCTTGGTGACCAGCCGGAAGCGTCGGCTTAACTGGATCTGAGCCAATTTGGCCTGTTTCCGCGAGATTCCACGAACGTATGCACGCTCGATACTCTCGTTAATCGACTTCAGTAGTAGGCGATCACGAGAGAACATGTTTTTATGCCAGTACTTTAATGCGTAGTAGAGAAGACGTGGCCATAAGTGGTTCAATAATGTGTTGGGTGAAGACGGACTTATATCCATTACAGCATGCAGTATACTGTACATCGGACAACCCTCAATCATCAGAGCAAGCAAACAGAAGAAATGTAAAAAGCTTGAACTAGACACTTCGATTGCGTGAAGCACGGTTACTGCAACGTCATACCCTATGTCAATCATTGGGTGGTATCGTATGGCATCAACTAGGTTACGTTCAGTGAACAAATAAGCTAGGATGTAGCAAGTCTCTTCTCGGACTGTGCGTTCGCAACTGAAAAGACAATTCAATAAAACTTCCAGCCAGTCATTGATTCGATTCATAAGCACAGGTATATATTGGGGAAACGAGGCACAAGTGGCTAGCAAAATGCACAGTTCACTGCGGGATTTGGAGGTCGCGAGAGAGTTGTGAGCTCGGATTGTTTTTGTCACGCTACGAATACGCGTGTCCATTGCAGTCTGGCTGTATTTGCCAAAGGACGTATTCGGTTGCATCTGAACTATCCAGTTGTTGAAGAGGGCTGTCGTAAAAACTTTCGCCTCAATCCACAGGTTCTCTAAATCACCAATGGCCGTGTCTGCTTCCGCGTGCCTGACTGGGCAATACTGCGTTTTCTTCGCTATGGCTTCTAGTTCTCCAGTTCCCTTCTCTGGACATCCGGTGTGTTTATATAACGTGCCCATTCGAACCAGATGACGTAGAGATTTCGGTAATGCATCGATCCTGGAACTTTTTAGGAGATCCCTTAGGATCGAATCTTTTAGGATGGTTATGTTGTACAACTGTCTAAGATCCTTAGCACTTTCCGGGTGTATCGGAAGCTGCAGGTCATGTTCTTTAATCTTCGCGTCCAAAATATCTGGACCCTGGTACATATCATCCAAATCTATTACTGAGGGGACTAGAACCTCTGGAAAATTTGCACGCTTATTTCGACCTCTTAAAAGCTTCAGTGAGGTGGTTGTTGGACGGCTGTGTCTATGGTATTGTTTGGTATTAAGTTCTTCTTGTTCTGCAGCCTGCAAGTTGAGCAGCACATTATCAGGCATACTAGATCCTCCACTTTGCATTCGCATCAAACGTAACGATTTGAGGGCAGCCAAGGCACGATGGACTGTTGGAGCTTGAGGTTGTATGGGAAAGTCCCGTCGAATCTTTGAGATCGACTGACCAAAAATAGATATTGGTCGGTAAATGCTATTCTCTGGAGAACCCTCCAATTCATTATTGGAATTATAATGGGTGAAATCCTTCGGATAACTTTCCATAGGGCATTGAAGAGACTCGGTAGTTGTTTCTCTGTGGTTGAGCATTATTGCGTCGGCATTTTCTATTCCTTCTGTGTCGAAGCTTATTCTGTACGGCATACCTGTGCTAAACGTCAAGAATTGTTCGAAATGCTGTGATCGTATTAGTGGCGGGAATTGCAATGTCCCGGTTGGAATAGTTTTTAAAAAGCGCATTTGTCTGCGGCTTCGAACACTTGAATGAAATGCCGTCCGACCTCCCAATGTGCTCCGTGAGACTACGGACGTTGTTCTGAATCGACGGTCTGAAAAGTTGCCCAATACAGGAAGAATAGCTTCATATTCACCGACTGTTTTGTTCATATCCCGGATAACCCTGCGTTCAGGGGCCATTAGTCCAAAGTGTTCAGGTCGTGTTATTGGCCATGCGTCGTTCTCCGATAGCCTAACTGGATTCTGAATGAATGCTTTCCACAAAATTCGGGGTTTTGACGTTTCTTCATCATCAACAGAACTGTCCTCAGCTGATTCACCTGACTCGCTCGAATTCCGCTCTGAAACCGTTTGCACGACCGATATAGTGGGAACTTTAGTCCATTTTGAGCGATCATTCGTCATGTTGCGGGACATACTTGTCACATGGGTATCACATTTGGCCAAGCTGGTGGTACAACTCATAATGTGGCTGGGTGATAACTACTATACGTTACATCGTTTACAAATACTGTCCATTTTCCAAAGGCGGGTTCGATCGATCAATGTTTTGAACCCATTGACCTTGAGGTATGTGATTATTCGGTGACTATTTGGTGAACCACTGAAACTATGCTGAGGAGAGTGAGGAGAGGAAATAAAACAGATTGAAGTGACGAGTTTAGCTGTATCCATGCCTGTGAAGAGCGAAACCTGGAACAAATGACCTAGCCAGCTAACCAACTAACTAGCTAGTTAGCTAATTAGTTAACTAACTAACCACTTATCCAACCAGTCGACTAGTTAACTAACCAAATAGCCAGCAACAATCAATTAATGCACTCATCCATTCGTTCATCCATCCATTTATTTATTTAATTACTTACACACATTTATCTGGTAATGTGTTGGAATATTGGTAGCTCAGGTGTATTGGTTGGTAATTGATCAGGCGGCTGCTGATCTGTTCGCCAAGCTCGGCGAACAGATCAACAGCCACCTGATCAATTACCAACACATTTATCTATTTATTTATTCATTCATCCATCCACTCATTCAGTCATTTATTTGCTCATTTACTTGTCCACTCCTTCATTCTTCCGTCCAAGCTAGTGGTAAACACAGGTATGATCATCGGCACTTCTTACGCTTTCTTTCAGTGGATCAATCAATATGAGGCATTTACTAGGTAATGAGTTGTGGCCATTCACAGTAGACACTATGCAGTGGAGTATTCCTCTGTTCCACACATACTTGGTATCATGGCACCCTCACTTTTCTATTTGTGGGCTCACGCACCCGATGCGTTTACTGCATGCCCTAAGTCGACAGTGTATTTAAACCCTATCATATCAGACAAGTCAGGTTTCTTTTCGCGGGTGTTCTCACGCACTGGATGTGACAGCACTGTCTGCGTTACTGATTATTATGTCAAATTTGTCTGCCAGTGCCACACTGGCGTCGACGTTGCTTTGACCAAATCTAGCAATCGGGAGTTGGTATAACACAAGGAACAGCATCGTCCGGTTACTCCCTTAGCCATTCCTCTGAAGACTTTTTTGTTGACCCACGTCAGGCGAACGGATAGTTGCAGCCAGCTACCTATCTTCCTCCAGTTTTTATTGGAGCTTTACACCGGATAGATCAGTAAGATTTTGTCTCGATGATGATGGTGACTACAGCCCTGATCATACTGCACCGCTAATGATGTCGATGGAACTAACACCTGCATTTTTCGCGGCGAGTGTTTTGCAGGCTACTCTGGCAGTTAGGTACTGCACACAGAAGACAGATGATTTCCTGGAGGTAATATGAAAGCGGTTTCTCTGTAAAATGTGTTTATAGAGAGGATTTGCGGTTAATATGAATCGGTGACTCTTGAAAGTGAAGGCATACATTGTTGCCACAAGTAAGGATCCGTCACAGCGAATTGGTGAGCAGAGGAATTAGGTCCTTCTCACTTATACTTTTTGCTACTCGGTCAATCCAACAACGTTGAGAGTGAATGCTCCATTTTACCTGTTGGCTGAATTGCATATTAGAGTTCCAGGTGGGGATATAAAGTAGGCTCTCATGATGTATTCACACTACCCATTGGGTGCAACCCAAGTGCACTCCGATCGCCGCTTATTTTCTACCTCTAGGAAAGAGCTTGGTGTTTCATTGGACTGCTATTCATCGGTAGTGTTTATGCGTTATGACGTAGTGTATGACATGAGAGGTTTTGCAACGCCTAGTTGAAGGACAACGAAGTGGAGTCACTTTAATTGCTTAAAAACAGTCAACAATGTATGTCCTACATAACACGGTTAGTCTGGTCGATGTACATGTAGTATACTTAAACTAATTCCCAACTTATTGTGTGTAATCAGCACAGGATATGGAGGCACTCATTTTACACTGAACCATAAAAACTACTTTGTAGGACGATAAAAGCAGATCTCATTTTGAAGCGGCCATATATGTGGCGTTGACATCGTTGAGAGTTTGATTAGGGCGCACAGCTGATGGTGCGCTTCCAGACGAGTGGAAGTCGTAGTTTGAGAAAACGCGCTTGATATGATCAAGCGGGGGGATGCTGAGTATACAGATGAGCAGTAGACTCTCATAATACTTTCATCAAGTGAGTCTAAAGGATGGTATCTATTGGCGTTTAAACCTCCCAGTTATGTTAGGAGAATGACTAAGGACTAGGACAGGAAGTGTAAACATGCCCAAACGCATGTATGGTAGTCGGTCCAGCATGCAGTACGACACACAACAGCTCATGTTGCTCTCAGAGCAAATGAAATTCCTCTCGCGAATTCAGACAATGGGAAACCATAATGTCAAGCAAAACGCGCTTCAACTCTGGGAACGTAGGAAGACAGAATATTCCCAAACTAAAGACATTTCTGTATTTCTGTGTCTCCGACAGATTCGGATTTCGAGTGCTCAGTTATCCCAGAAAAATTATGAAAGGTCAAAAAGTATCCTGTGGTCTCATGTCCCTTCGCCTTCAGCACCTTCCGTTCTGCAATGCAGCTAGTGGCTCATTGCAGATAGCTCTGAAGTTTGGGAGTTTTCTGATAGACATTATCACGATGAAAACGTCAGTTGATGGGTAGCGATCCCAAACAATGATAACGTAAATTTCGATTGTCAAGTAAGCGAATGTTCGAAATAACTACACCCAATCGATGGTACTTCAAAATCGGGCTATTTCAAGCTTGTCAAATGCACGGAGAAGGATTGTTTCAAGGTGAACTTGTGTTTCGTGGCTCTTGGATTTTACGGCAAATGTTCGCTGACACACCCAGCTAGGTGTTTTGATGATTCATGGTGCAATAAGTGGGGGCCGGCAGGTGTGGTTATTATTCCTCTTCCATGCTGAACGACTTCGCGTTTACCATGTGCTGCCCAACAGTAGGACACATCCCTGGGTAGCGAACTCTTGTTATCTGAGATAGGAGGCAAGCAATTTACTACAAACCCACAAGCGTATGCTGACAGTAATTTACTGGTCCTAATAAACTACATACTCAAATGCTTAAAAAACAGGCAAATACAGGACATGGCTGGGAAGAAAACTGTGTAAGGACCAATCAGTACTCTAGATTACATAGGTCGTTGTTCTCGTATTGTGATGTTGCAAAATAAACCCGGTGAGGAACCTATAATGCCGTCCGTATCTTCCGCCATATTTTCGCCTGCAATCAATGGAATTGAATGAATTTCGATCAACAGGTGTCAAATGCAAGAACCCGCAGGATTACTACTCCGGGTAACTGGTATAAAAAAGGTAGAAACATTAAAAACGGGTGAGAAAAATGTGGGACCATTTCGTAGTCCCCTCTTAACCAGTGAGATTCTAAAGAGGTTTTCCTGGCCATTTCACCTCGAAACCTTCATGAGACACTTTTGACAACTGTGTGGAAGGTTCTGCAGCTTTGTTTAACTGCATACGCAAAACCCGCCCTGGAATCATAAGCGTTTTCGTCTTTGTTCACTCCCTGTGCTAGTTTACTCCAAGAGGCTTCATCTAGATGAAACTAAGGGCTAGAGTTGGACCACTCCAGCACCTCCACGGGACGGAACAAGAGTCAGTCCTTGAGCATGTTTTTTCTTGCGTAAGCTTACCACGACTTGCCCAGTATTGGAGGTGGGTGATTAAATGAGGTACACCGATATCTGGCTTCACAACTAATTGCTGATATTTCAGTTCCTCAAGTTGAGAGATTACTATAACCAGTACTCTCGGACTAAATTGATTTCTACACAGATTCCCTTCCTGTGACATGTATGTGTGCAAAATGGAAATGAATGTCATTGACCAGGTAACCCTAGCTGACCGGAATTTTAGTCAGTGACAAGAAACATTGAATATAAACCCATTTGAGCACAATCCATCCATCTATTTCCTGGTATATCGGAACCATTAGTGCTTTGTGAATGAATCTGACAGCAACGCCGATGGCGAGCGGCTTTCTCTCAGGTTTGGCGCACTGGAACTTCTCAGCTTACGAAACCAGCAAATAATTAATAATGAATAATACTTAATGCTGCCATGCCACTCGCTGTCATGACTAGACAAGGGATGCGATGATAGAACAATACAAACTGGTGGCTCGCGCCTTCACAACGAGTTTGTCTCGAAAAGTTGCTCAAATATCACTACCGTGACCCAGATCGTCATCCAGTCGAGACCTTCCTAAGTGTGCTAGCTCAGTGGATGTAAAAGTTTAGACCTCTATGACCCTAAGACGAATGTGATGATTCTTCTGAAACAAAAAAGTAATGCTGGGAATGCCGTCAATACACTGATTATAACAATAGTTAAATGATCTAGGGAGGTTTTGGGGTTACACGGCCAAAATTTCTCTGGACACGATAGTATTACAGAGTTTTCTAAAATTTCGTCGTACCGCTTCTTCACTTTGGTGATTTTGCGACAGCTGATCGAAAAATTGACTTGAAGACTTCTAAATAGAGACGCATTTTATCCACGAGATGTCCTCATTTGTGGGAGAATTAGGTGCGCGGAATTTATCCCCCAAAGTGGAATTTCAGCAAGAGAATAGAGAAGAACTGTGCAATTGGGGTACCAAAGATATGGGGCAGCACGAGGTGATGTAAACCTCTGCCTAGCGTAAGAACCCTGGGACAGCTACGTGACTTACGCCGTCTATATAGCAAAAATTAAGCAAATCAGTGCCAGTAAAATTCCGAGTATTGACGAGCAGGATTAGCAGTAGTGATTGAGTGGAACAAGAGAACTCAACTAAACCTGATAGGATTGGAGAGACCAGAAGACTGGAAAACAAGGAGAGGAGTCATCAGGCTACAACCAAATTCAGTGAAGTTTTATGCAACTGAATGTGAATATTATGAAAAAGATGATTCCGTTGTTCTAGTGTTGATAGAACATTCAAAGCCATGCGATGCCGTGTCTAATGCAAAGCTAATTCCATGCCATGTACGGAACATATGCTCTGCAGCAGCACACAGCTAGCAATTTCCAACATGCATGACGTATCTCGCCTGCCAAGTACAAAGTAACACAACTCTACCAGTCACAGACTGCTTTTTACCACGCCTCAGTGCAATCAACGCAAGGCGATTCAGTCCCCATAAGAGGGCTAATCTAGGTGATCAGTAGTCGAAACCGTTCATGCACCTAACCTATTAGGACTAGAAGGGCCATATAGTGCATCTAAACTCAAATGAGTAACAATCAGGATAGCCACCGCACTGGGAAAGCTCAAGTAGGTGGAGTCGTGCTATGTGCTGAATGGACGGAATCGCGAAAGCGAAAAAGAAAAAGGGAAAGAAAGAAAAGATGAGAGTGTGAATGAGTGTGCAAACTCAACGAATGAATGAATGAATGAATGAATGAATGAATGAATGAATGAATGAATGAATGAATGAATGAATGAATGAATGAATGAATGAATGAATGAATGAATGAATGAATGAATGAATGAATGAATGAATGAATGAATGAATGAATGAATGAATGAATGAATGAATGAATGAATGAATGAATGAATGAATGAATGAATGAATGAATGAATGAATGAATGAATGAATGAATGAATGAATGAATGAATGAATGAATGAATGAATGAATGAATGAATGAATGAATGAATGAATGAATGAATGAATGAATGAATGAATGAATGAATGAATGAATGAATGAATGAATGAATGAATGAATGAATGAATGAATGAATGAATGAATGAATGAATGAATGAATGAATGAATGAATGAATGAATGAATGAACGAATGAATGAATAAATGAATGAATGAATGATTGAATCTTTCCAAAGCTCTTGATTACATCGAATTAGATGCTTTTTCAAACTACCCGCCTAATGAATCTCCTGTATCGCCGAAACAATGGATGAGGGCTATTGTTCGTTATCCGTTTCGGTGGGGGGGGGGTGCAGACCTATTTATGTTGTAAATGAACTCTTCCCTTCATGTACCGGGGCCACTATCAGAATGCGGACAATGTTGTTGCTCCCTGCCCCTGATCCGGGGTGAGATGGAATCCCCACAATCTACCTGCTTGCCTAGTTGCTTGGGTTCTGTGTGTTCTGTGTGTAGCTAAGACAGGTATCTTACTGTAGTGCTTCTGATGTGTCAAACAACCAAAGAATGTTTCGTCACCAGAATAAGGTGGTATGGTACGTCCAGTGCCGGACTCATTGACCTCATTATATGGGCTGGCAAAAATTCCTCTGATTAGCTCGGTCAAAAAATCCATTGTATGACCAGGCAGTCAAAATATAAATTATAAAATATTAAAACATACATGATAATCTCTTTGGTGGTAGGTTTGAACAAAATAGCTCCCTTCCCATTCCCAACACCTACTTACGCGTGTACGCTACAGTTACCGTCCGATACACGATTTTAAACAAGTATCGAACGGAAGAATAGTCACATGATGGAGGTACACTCAACATTTTAGTTTTTCGTGCCACTGTTGGTGGTGCGCTGAAAATTGGAATCCGTCAGATGCAGACCGTTCGGCGGATTTCAGTATGAAGTTCTCCGTTAGAATCGACCCAAACCCAACGCCGATACCACTATCAAATCCAGATGAGGGCCGTCCATACTCGATTTCACCAGTGAAAGATGTACGGAGTCCGTCAAGATATTCTAAGAACACTCATCACAAACAACACTTCAAGGCTGGCAGGACAGTGTCCCCCATCCAAATTGTAAATGATGAATCCGGTAACAATTTATCCATGTACTCCAGCGCCTATCTTGCGCGTCCACAACCTCCGCGGCTCCCACCTCTAACAGTACCCAAACCAACATCTTTAGTTGCTGATGCATACGAGGTCGAAAATGTGACATGTCCAACCGATTACTTCAAAAGGCTACAATCAAAACTTCCTCAGGCGCCACGAAATACGAAGGCAAGTACAACTGGCGATGCACGTGACACCCTGGTAGCAACTCCACCATCGGTGAAACCGATGTATTTGAAAAAAACTGCCAAATCCAATTCATGTTCATGCGGCGGAAACAAAGCTAGAATTAATGCTAACCAATCAAACGATGGTCAATGTCATAGTGTCGGCATAACCAAGCAAAGAACGAGCCATGTTTCAAAACCGGCCTATCTGGGTTGTTTGTCGCCACAGACTACCGGAATGGAGGACACTTCTGCTCCCGGTGATAAAGGTAGCTCCGGAAACGGAAGAGGTTCGAATCGAGGAGGAGTTCATGAAGACCTAGACGATGCTAGCAGTCGAGACCGATATCTTTCAGTAATGGAAGATTTGTTTAAAAAACACAAAGCGCTTTATACTCGTAGTAATCGAGCCCCTCAAAATTTCTCTAACGTCAACTCATCAGTCATACCTGGCAGACGCATTCAAGCAATCGGAACGATACCAGAGGATCCAATGATGAAATTCACTGGAAGGCATGCATGTCACGCGATGGGTTTCCGAGGTCCTGAAAAAAGCGATTCGCTTATTGTCGAACCGGATCACAATTTAATTGCACAAGTTCAACGCCTACAGCGGTGTGAACAGAAGCTGAAAGAAAATAGTCAATCCGCGTATTCGGTAATATCGCGTCCACAGCCGGCACGGTCCAGAAATCTGACGCACATACTGAGAGAAAAGACACAGTCGGCTCTAGTGTTTTGTGTAAGTCGATGAGTCTTTCTAACTTTCTGTCTGCAGAATATATTCGTAGCCACGAAGTTCTGGTTGACTGAACGCTAACTAGTTGAATCACCTGGCAAATATGACTGACTTACCAGGGAGGTCCATTGCCAAACTAAATAACTTATTGACTGTCGAGTTGATTGAATCATACAGATTTGCTGAAATTCACTCACTGTTTTTTTCAAGGTTGGATCCGTGGAACACTGAGGACTAAAGACGAATTGATGCCATTACGTCAGCACTCCGTCACAATTTTCCGCGTGCAGATGGACAGGGCTTTCATGTTCAAGTTAAGATTACGCTGAAGTCTCTTCATTTTAGGGAATCAAAAGTAGTACTTGCAGCTTCATTAAAAAATACATTGACTTATGGAAAATACTGCATATCTAACCGGGCAGTGTGATCCGTATCCGTTGCTTCCAAAGAAAATGCCACACACTGCTGCAAACTCATCATCCTACCACGGGTGTAACTGCAAATGCAGGTTCCTTCCAATTCTCAAGGGAAAATTAAAAAGCGTCAGATGCAAATGTCCGGCACAACAAGAACTCACTCTGATGAAGCACATCCGTCGCGAAATATGAAAATGACAATGGGAAGAACTACTGATTGCTACTCGCAGAAGGATATCAGTAGTGGGAAATCATAGCACGTCAAACTAACAGCTTTGATTTTATTCATCTAGGAGAAGAGTTGTACGACAAAGATCCAGTGCGTCGCTTGAGTTAATCGTCATTGCCGTTCAGATAGGACATGACCGATGCATATTGGTCAGCACACTAATTCACTGACTTATCGACTCAGACAAGTTTTCTTTCTGAAAAGGAGGCTAAGGTGCACTCTGCAGCTTTTTATGAGTAACCACCAGAGCATACATCTCAATTCTCCAAATGGTCTGAACCCGCCAACTTCTTAGTTCGATGTTGCCGGAGCTTCTTGAGGTGTGCAGTGCTGGTGATACTTAATGAGCACAGATTGACTTCACTGGTGTACCGAAATTCACCCTGGGCTCATCTGTCACCAAAGTGAATAACTACTGGCCAGATGAAGGTGAGCGAGATTGCTTTTACTAACAATGGACCCACCAGTTCCTCTATCAAGTAACAACCACCACTTGGCTTCACCCTGTCTGGAATTTTTCAGCCGGCGAGAAGGTTGGGCTTCAGTGTATCTGTTATATGGGGAAGTTCTACATTCATCTGAAAAGCTCAGTTGGGTACGGAACGCACAGTGCGTTACAAGACCAATTATCCTTTGGCTCCAAGATTCTCACTTTCGCTTTAAACTGGAGCTTAGGTGAAGTGTAGTACGATTGTGTCTTGTTCGCGGGGATAGGTTACTGTCACGCTTTTTTTCCGTCTAGAAGTTTCTCATGACAGATTACTTAAAAACAGAATGCTTACTTTTTCCGGAACAGAAAATGGTGCAGTGTAGTGAAGACTGCTGATCAGACGTAGATGGTTGCGGGCTTGGTAAGAAACGATAGTGAGCGGCTACTGAAGCTGATAAAGTGTTACGGGGTTAGATTCATTTGATTTAATCGACAGCTCATAAATCCTACCGAAGCACGTCCAGAGAAATGCATTTTTATCCCTTTGTCTTTTCATAACGTAAGAGCTCGGTTGATAGCTGTGTCCAAGATACAGATGAATGGAATCAGGGCAGTGGCATTGCAGAGGTTATTGCGCTTCATACTGGCAGTAGGATTTTTTTTATCAAGTCAATCGCTCAGCAAGTGAGATGTTTTGAAATTTACTGGAATGAGACGCTGAACCTTCAACACAGCCAACTTCGGATCGCTCTAATTCATTCTTTCGCTTCAGTTCATAACGGTAAAATCTACCCTAAAATCTGTTCTGCCATCCTTCATTTAATCTTGTGCACCAAGTGCGGCCAGACGCGGTCTCTATTTGATTCTGTGTGCATTATGCACTTTGTCTTCGACCACGTACTGGTCGTATGACTGACCACACTGCGAGCATCAGGAATGTGCTTGACCCAACCAAAGATGACGCGGACCTCCAAAAGCTGAAAAGTTTAAAGTTCAGTAAGTGAACGGCATAAAAGTATAGAAGTGAAGCATAGGATTTTTCGGAGGGCTACGACCGCATAGAACATGATACGAACACTAAAGCGGTTAAGCAGTCCTCTGGTTTTTTCGTCTTGTTGGAAACTCTCTAACTTTAAGATCCCATAACTGTATTAAATTCAGTTTTGTGTATGCTCCACGGTTTGTATGTTGCATCACGTCTTCATATCGTACAATTACTGGCTGGACCCTAGGGGAGAGGCAATGAAAGCCACTAAGTCACTTCAAAACTTATAAGTTGTCTAGACGACTTTTCAGAATCTGATTGCAGCCTGTTCAGCACGGTTCTGGAATAACCAACCTCATCCCAAATCCATCCTCCAGAGGCGAGCCGTATGAGATGGCCCCTAGCTTTCCTCCACAACAGTGGCCTACTGTGATGAATGATTGGCAATGGATCAGTTAGATTAGGTGCAAGATGTGTGCTTGATCTGAACGTACTCACAACTTCACACTGCTGACTATGAGATGTCTAGCACATGGACTAGCTGATTAGAGAATCTAATGCGCCTCAGACCTCAGCAGATCGACGTGTGTACTGACGTATCATCAGCAAGTTACGTGGTCTGAACTACAGTACAACTTTCTGGGATATATCAAGTACGGGTGAGTGTGTTCAGGTGAAAGATATCCAGATGGAACGATCGCTTGAATATCGGGTAACGTTTTTCGATTTTCTGCTAAACTGTCTACATAAGAAATAGCTGATTCAGGACGTTAGAATTTATTGGTGTTTCATTCTTAACATTTTCTTATTGATAGCCGGAAGATTGGTTTCCACAGTGTATGCAGAGGATTAATGGCAATAGACTTGAAACGTTACTGTTGAAAAACTTCACTTTATGTCTGAGTGACTCTGTTCACATATTTGTTCTATTTACTACTTTGGGGAGTTTGAAACACATATGGATGTGGCTCGTTCGGGCTTTTTACGCGCTTTCAGAATCAGTTAATTTGTCTGAATGTCTTGCCACGTTTGGGATCCAAGCTCAAATCGACCAGATGAGGATAGTTGGTGTACTTTTTCCGGGACTCCTAGTGCTGATCTCACTCTGGGATTTGTCACCTCAGATCTACGGATATCAGATAGTTTTGTGTTTGTTCGTCTTTCGAAACCTATGTAGGTATCAAAAATATCTTCAGAAGACTTTCGCATACATATTCCCCTCTATCAGGTATCACTAGCGCATCAGGTGACCAGTCAACTCAACGAGGGTGATTCCGGGCAGTTAGTTACTTACACAAACCAATTCGTTGTCCTGAATACCTCAGATCCATTTGGACATACCTTTATCAAACTTGAAACATAAGTTGTCTCACAATGGGGCATCTGGTTCCGCTTGCAGGTGTTAAGCGAAAACAGGCAAGCCAAATTACCGACCCTTTAAGCTTACAGGAAAATCGATTCTTATTACTGATAAACTATACGGCTCAGAAATGGACGAACTACTTGTTCTGTCGGTCTGAATGATAATGGGCAAGCTTCTTCATCTGAAAACGAAATTCTCTAAATAGACACGAACCAGTTAAACATGACCGCATCCTTACTTATTCAGAACAAACACCGCTAATTGGTTTATTAGTATAAATGCACTTGTAATTGTTTAAGATCCCTGGTTCTGTTTGTACCTCAGCGACCTGAGAGAGGTAGTGAAACTTTGTTTGCATTCTTATTTAGTTTCACTGCGTCCGAATGGTTCACAAGGAAATGGATCAATTGTCACTTGAGCCCTCTAGATAACTAACTGTCATGAAAAAAAAACAGATGGATGGACTTGTAACTCTGATGTTTTGGAGAGACGAATGTGCGTTTTGCACTTGTAACAACCGCTCTTCTGAGAGATCTCTTTTGATCGATTTGTCATTTTCTTGTCATGATGATTCGAGAGGGTGTTCCAACGTTTCTAGTGGTAACAGTCCACGTACACATGTTCCTGAATGGCTGATTTCCCCATTAGGCCTCTAAAATTACAGAATCCTAGTGAATGTTTCACTGAGCTACACTGTGTTGAAGACTACACTCTTCCAGAGTTAATCTGCCGCTGCTAAGTCGGTCCTCAACTCGAGGTGGCACCCTGCATCATCAGGACTCGCTGCACATAGTACTTTGACTTTAGTGCGGAAAAAACTTGAATTAAAAAACCGCCCAGTTGATGTAAATATCGTCCAAAAATTTGTTGAAGGGAAGGGAACTAATTATCTACTCGCGATAAGATAGACTGAATGTGTGAACGACCAATAGCTACAACTACTCGAATGAGAACCAGCCTATCAGACAAGGTTTCCCCTATCCTTTGTTTCCGAAATACGGTCACTACTCTGTTGTAACGAATCGTTCCATAGCCTACGGATGCGATTGGGTGCACAATGTGGTCGGGTAGGTTGACAGAATAAAGCGGAAACACCTACAGAATACAAGCTACTATATCACACAGCGTTTAGAGCAAAAAGTACTCTGGAACCGTCAACGTACACGTGGGCATAATTCCTATCCAGGCGGCTCAACTTTTTGGCCAAGTACCGTTGGTTGTTCAGTCGGGTCCATATTTTAAGCCGTGATTATGATAGGACCTTCAAGTAAGTATCGGTAAAATACCTAGCTTGAATCTGCAATAATCAGTTTGTCCCCGGAATACATTTAGTCAGTACATCCTGCCTTTAGGCTTTCCATGTTCACCCTACTATAAGAAAAGTCCATGTTTCTAAGCGGTAACCCTCAGCTGTTTCTGTCTCTATATTCTGCACTGTTCTCTGAGTTAATTGTATTGCTTCGTCTGTTTACCTCCGCCATAGCAACAGCGACAGCACGCACGCATTAGTTCGGTGCCTGAACGTGAATCAGACATGGAGTCTGTCAGCTCACGTGATCTCACTCCCATCGGGTCAGATGAAGAGCTTTGGATTGACAAAAATCGCTACCTGCTGCATTTCAATCCAGTTGTACAAATCTTACCAAACCAAAGCCCATGGCACGACCATTCAAAGAAAGTTGATGAGACAGCAAGTGAAACAAGTGCTGCTGCAGATACAGTTGATGCAGCTGGAGTTACCAGACGGTCAGTTTCAGCTGGTCCATTGGTAAAACGCAAATACTCAGTGGATAAGGGAATGGAGCTTCGAAGTGCAGTGAAGTCGGTTCTTCGGAACCGTTCGTCCAGGTCCTCTCCCAGCAGCGATGTATACACTTCGTATTCCTCAAGCACAGGCAGTCGGTGTGGTCAGCGTAATTGCGTGCAGCGGCGCGCTCTTTCGCTCAGTGACCTGACTATTCATATACAATCATGTGATCCATTCTGTTTGGAGAGCTCATCGGGAGCGGTGCATGAAACCGTCGTTGAAAGAAACACCGGCCAGGATGGGACAGAACAGGTAGTTACCCCCACCGTAACACGTACGCTAAGCTTATTGAAACCAGTCACTCCCTTGCATGATGATGAATCGGACAGCGGTGCCTTTGAATCGTCGGCCGACCACGTACAGGTTAACCGAATCGGGTTTCCCAATTCAGCTGGCTGTTTGGACTTCATGGTTGCATCAACAGATCCCAATCCAATGGCATGGTTTGATTTGTTGGACGATAAGCTCTCCAGAAGTACATTTCGTGCCACAATTCGTGAGAAGCTGATCGCACAGTTTCGGCTAAAAGGACTTTCAAAACTCTTTATGCGTTTCCCCGGTGGCATGCTTGGACTGCAAAGAGAACTAGAGAAGGGATGGGATATTCGTCCAAAACCAGAGATGTTGATGAAGTGCGTGGTCAAGCATCACGTGCTCAAGATGCCGATTACACTACAAAACTCAGACTTAGTCGAGAAGATTTATATGAACTCGATAGTCAGACACCCAGTCTTGTATAAGCTAATAATGCGGCGCCGAGAAATCCTACCACAAGAATTGCAGCACTTTTTGAACCGGATTATGGAGATGACGGAAACATCCGAACGTATGCTGGCTACCATCACCAATTCAACCACAAAACTGGCTGCAGTAACCACTGCAGCGAAGGAAATGGATGCTTCTGGTTACATGACAGGTGGACCAAGAGTGAGTAAATCTGCGGCAAGAGAACGAATATCATCAGCTAGCCAAGCCACATCACGTAAATCGCAAAAGCAAGAAGTCAGGCGCGAACAGACTGGTTTGGGTAGTATGAATGACGAGAAAGACACTATTGCTAGCCAGTCAAGAGAAGAAAAGGTAGCCCCAAAGATGTCAAAGAAGGATGCCGGTTACTGTGCTCAGTACGGAAAAGAAGTAGATTTTGATAAAGGATTCTACACCACTTTGCGTAATCCATGTGCCAATATTTTGGAAGAAGTGGCGCTTCACCTACCCGAATTCGCGTGGCACATAAGACCCTTATTTGAACATTTATGGGCCACTCTGGAAGACGAATTGTTTGAAAGATTAATTGACAGACAGATAATCATCCAACAAGAACTTGAAGAAACGTCTTCATCTCTTTCTCGTGAGGAGGATGAGAAAGTTGTTGTGACTCGGGAATTCCTCGAAGAAAATGGACTGATACCTTCAAGACAGGATCTTCTTGAATGGCCAGAGACTTATGAACTTTGTGTGCAGCTGTTCAAACGGATTCCGGTTTACTCAAACACCTGTCGGGTCCCAAAACCGGGCGATGGTGTGTTACACGATCTGCTCATTTGTCTGCATATGTCGCTGTACTACAACAAACTGGGTGTGTTGTTGGTTAAAGAGTTAGATACATGGATTCCATACCTGTTAAACGGCCTTGAAAGTACTTTCTCGTCAGTCAGGGAGGAAACCTGTGGCGTACTTGCCTACCTAGTTTGTGCCTACCGACTGATGTCCAAGCTGCATGCTACAAGCAAGAATCTCCTGGTGGCCAACATCACTCTTAGTGTTCTTTCCGCTATAGGAAAGTATCCGGAAAGCTATGCGTTCTATCATGGTCTCTTGGGTTACATGTTGCATTCTCTTCCTTGTTTGTCAACGCTGGACTGCTTTTTGCTATGGCTACCCGTCGTGGATAACGATCCAAACAATCTGTTTTCACGTGACTGGCCCTTGTTTGTATACTACGTTCTGCGTCATTGGCCAAGATCTCCCTTCTATTTAGATACACTTTACCAGAAGAAGCTTCTGAAACCTTTGGAAGCTAGTTTCCTGATAAAACATTCGAGGCGTGCGGCCAGACTGGCGCTGAGCTACTTAGTGCGCACGTGTAAAATACGTAGTTCTCTTTTAACTTGCTGGCCAGAAGGAGATGAACCAACATGAACTTGGTGGTCACTTGCGCAGCTCGCTTCCCAACGGAAGCGAAATTGACGCAAACTGAATTGGACATCGACCGCTCTAGTTTCCATTTGTAGTCGAATAACAGTGTAATGGACTGTTATATGAAAAGAAGACAATAAATACAGCTTCTGGTCACTCATAATTTACTCATACTGTCATACGACCTAGGTTAATGTACTTGATAACTGAGACCAGGTCACTGAGTACACTAACTGCAAGTCCATAGAAAACAAGCTGCTATGAGAGGAAAGGTGTATGAAACTGAAGCCATGAATTTCAAGCTACAGAATGCTGATCGGCGATTTTCTTCGTGAATATAAACGATCAGTTGTGATAATGGTCAAGAATAATGACCAGGTTATGCGACCCAGTCAACGACTGAATAGAAAAAAATCCTAGCTTCCAAACTAGAATTGTAGCTAAGTGTACTTACGTACGTAAGTACGCATGTATTCAAGCGTAAATGCGTTACCCCCAAGAGTTTATTCCTATAGGTCGCACAATAGCTTATTGCCATCGAAACCACCAAATGGTGGTTTCAGTATTTGGAATCGACCCAATAATATAAGCATGGCGAACCAAAATGACATATGCCCGTTATAGATGGCTGATCATTATATCGGAAATGAAACTCTGCCAGGGCCCTCAGCAAATCTTCTGAGGGTCCGAAACATAGGAGGAACCAACAAGAAATTTTCCAAATATGGCCACTAACCACTTATTTCCGACATTGGTTAAACTTATTTTTACGAGTGACAGAACACCTTACAGATTAACCCCCACCCCCAGTGCAATTACAAAGGATGCTTGTCAGGAGTGAAATAAATTTGACTTCCTATAGAAGCAACAAATTCATGAGCGATCACTTCTGGCTGATCAATTCAGCAGACTTCGTCAGAAAGGGACAGTCTGGTCCTTATCAGAGGCCTGTGAAATTATCACAGTGGGTTATGCAAATTAGGCGCGGTAGACGGAGTCAGGATCGGGACAAACATATCTATCCCTACTGCTCACAAAATCTCAATAACTTGCTGTGGTGCCGTAAACTGCATTAATTTGTATAAGTTTTAGCCGGACCTCACCATTTGCGTCATTGACTGCGTTGTGTATTGTGGAAAATAAGGGACAGTTGCGAACAAGTGTTTTTTCTGAAGTAGATCTCCTATGACAGGGCCATAAAAATTAAAAAGTATCTTAAATCGATACCCAAATTCGGTAACCTCTGAGGATTTTACTTTTATGCGTCCGGAACAGTTCAAAGGCCCAACGAATCAGTTCTGGCATTATGAGGTTTTTTACCATCCAGCCACCGCTCCAATGGCATTATAGAGTAAGCAAGGGGTTCCGCATAGGCACCAGCGATGTTACGTAAGTTTTTTCGACATTTTCAACCCCCACATTAGTACACCAATGTTCCTGATTACTGTCCACCACAGATAGCCACCGTACCTGAATTTGTGTTCCGAACTCTTACATTCTGAGCCACTCCAGCAGAATTCAGTGCAAAGCCGGTCTCTACTATGATCCGCGCTTTATTAGTGGCCTGGCTTTTATTCAAATCGACATCGTGGAATGGACTGCGTATTGGTTTTAAGCCGAATTTGACTTCGCTTGGTAGCCACTTAGATGTGGACATGAAAAACCCACGCATATAACGAAATCAACGTGAAGCTTGTTGGACATGCAATATAGACCAGTTAATTCATAACCCAACCCCCACCCCAAATCCAACTAGATCCTTTGTTTATACACGGTTTTGGAGAAACATAAAATACATGTTTGCCATTTGTGCCTTCCGAAGTTCCTGCTTCTGCCTGGAAAGTAAACAAAATCAGACGGACCCCATCAGAGTAGTTACCAAAAAGTCCCGCAGTAACAATTATTGGCTACCCCTACGACGAATGCCACACAAGACAGGTTATCTTGCATTCAAACTTCCTCATCACTGTCATAATCCGTTTCTTTGGATAGCTGCTTCCCGTTTTCTATTGACTGGCTTTCACTATTCGACGCTTGTCCTATAGGTGATCTCATCTGCAACACGTGAACAGGAGTTTGTAGTATTTACAAACTAAGCAAACTTCTCAACAGTCACGAGCACATGGTCTGGTACAAGGATTGTCAGGATGGTATGGGCCCTGAATCCTGAGGAAATTTTACATCCGGAAGGTTGGATGAGCATCCAACAAAACGGACGTCCAGCTTCAAGAGATGACCTTGATCACCGAAATGGACTCCATAATCGCCTCTTTCGTGTGTTCTGATAATCGTGAGAAATTGCTTTCGCACTTTCTGTAATTATGTTACCTGATGCCGGCAGATCCACCAAGGCAATTACCTCTTCGGTGCAGTTGAACCAGGTACTTGACCCTGGGTTCTGGCTGGGTGAAGCCGTGGAGTAGGTAAGGATAGTGAGTTTTAACTTCGGATTCGCAGTTTTGAGCCAACCGAGACTGACCATTTGTCAGATTTCAAACACCAAACCCATTAACCATGTTTGTGGTTGGTTTTGATTAGGCTGATCCATACGATTATTCAAACTTGACCTAGAATTGTCCTAGAATGTGAATTCCTAGTAAGCTGACTTAAAAAATTAAAATGAGTTCAATTTACGGATCTGACAAGCATGTCTGCAAGAGAAGCAACTGAAGTTGTCGCAATGCAAGAAAAGATACCGGTGTAAGGGCGATACTATTGATGAGGGAGACATGCGAGTAGTAAGTTTTCTTCTTTTAAAATTGCTCTGCGTCTCTTCAAAAGGGAGATCTGCTGCAGAACTTGTGGAGTCGCTTTTTAGCATTTGCTTGGATTTGAGCAACAGTCAATGGATATCCAGGAAAGTTCAGGAAAACGCTTTCAAGAGAAGATGGATGTTCACTTTTTGTAAACAAGATGCGTATGGGAGTTTTGCTTCCCTGTCCAATAGTCTGTAACTAGGCAGTTGGCATTTCCTAATAAATAACTCCTCAGCGAAGGCTTTCTCCCTTTCACCGGTAGCATCGAAAAAATACGCTGGGTTTAAAGCAGGGTTTTTTCCCGTCATACAAGTAACATAGATTAGACGATTACTTTTTTCCAATATGACTTTAAGGTTGTCTGCCGACTTGACTTTCAACTCTTTCGTAGTCAGCCTTGAAACACAGCTAGAAGCTTGATTGTTGCCAATCACGAGAAAATAAGACGTGACAGTCACCAGGCCAAAAGTGGATCACGAATTTCCTACCGTTATTTGACTCCCTTTCGGCCGTCGTTTGAGTGGGGTTCAATAAAGACACGTGGTCCTCACAGATGAGTGATGTCAGTACTTCGTAGGTACTTCGTGGAAAATATCAGATGCCAATTTGTCATCATATTGGCCGAATGCAAAGAATATGGTACAGTTTAGAGATAGCTGGGAACAGATCGGGTTACAACAATCATACCAGATAGACCAGCCTTTCCCTTTTGTCGGCCAGTAGCGGCCAGTAACTTTACACTGCTGAACTTACATATCAGGTCTGATAAAGCGGGGAAGGTCGTCTGAACTCTCCGTAAGAGCAACCTACATTTGGAGAGGTCTGCCCTAGGAACTGCCGAGCTCCTACAGCAATCACTCCTGAAACTGGTCGCTCATTCTTTGGTCTTATGCCATAGTGCTATCCTAGCATTTGGCACCTGACTGCGACAGTTCAGTCCCCGTCAGCTTTTGTCTTCTTCCCAATTTACTACCGCCCAGATAAATTTTCCGTGGTTGTACGGTAGAAAAGCAACTCTGCCGGTGTTGTTGTTGATCTGCACAAAGATAGCTATGACAACAAAGCGTTCATGGTGAACTAGGTATGACACATGGTGCGCACAAATGGCTTCGATCCCAAACTCCAAAGCTCCGGATATTCAGACTCTATCCGCTGCGGTCGTTCACCGGCTTTCCTGGCAGTAAGACTCTTCCGGGTGACTAAATTGCTCATATCTTTATGTCTACACTGAACATACCGTCTGGTTCAACGGGATAAACTATAGCGATGTTTAATTGGTCAGTCGATTGGTCTCTGTGCTACAGTCTGTTCAACGTTGCAGATGGCCATTCTTCAGTTCAAAAACGGAATATAACAACCCGAGTAAAAATACGCTTCAACGAGATTGTCTGCGTCTATTAGAGTGAAACTGACACACATCTCGCTTCTTACCCCGTAGTATTGAGTGTGCAATTATTTGGAAGTTAACCCAGCGCAAATCACTCCACCCTTTATTCAAAATGTTACTGGTCACAGTTGGAAACCCCAATGTTACTGGAATCTCTTGTGGTGAACCTCGAGTCTCCGATAGCTTTGTGCTTCGGGTAGGATATTCACAATTTTCAAAATGTCAGGTAGATAAATGTTGCGGTAAAGTTTGCCCGAACAAATTCATCCAATCATGTGAGACTTGTTTAATGCCGTTGGTACGACCGAAATGAAAGCTTACTGAGGTACTTAAACATGTACTGCTCACCTAGTTATCTGGCTTTATGAAAGCGAAAGTGACATCCAGATATTGCTCCTTGATATATTTCAACAGAATTATGAGCAATGTGAATATATTGACTCACAAAAAACAGAGTGTTGTATTGCCCCATTAGAGCAGCTTACCTGCATTAACCGCGTGCACAGAAACTAGATCACTTTTTCGGGCTGACAGGATTTATTTATTGCGGATTAACTTATCTCGATACCACTGACCTATAAACAGTCTAACACAGTCGATAGTTGCTTGCACCAAGCCAATGGATCGTGGGGATTAAAATTAGTCCAACTAATGGAATGTCCTCATCGACCTACTGGATTTTGAAAACTTTGTGAATGTGCTTCAATAGCAGGGTTTCAAAATGTGGTAGCACCTGTTGACAAAATCAGGCATGTTGCATCGATAAAGGCGACCGTGATCAGCACACAACAAGGCGACTGACTCTTCCTCTGACTGTCTATGTAGTGTCGTTTACCCCAAGGTGGGCTTTGAATAACACAGCCCTCCAGCGCTATGGGACACTAATCCTGGAATCTACTCATTTTTGGCAAGGGATCTTTGTTGTTGATTATTTAGGAGTTAGTTGGCACATCCACTGATGCATGACTCTGATCTGCCACAAAAGTGCAC